AGGCATTTCAGTTTAATGTGCTATGTGTATTATTAACAGGAGAGACTATGTGATGGCAGGGTTTACTGTTTTCAGGAGGATTCTTGCTAAGACTTCAGAGATGGTGAAGCTGCCTTTGTTTTGTTTAATTGTATTAGAAACAGCTATTAGTGAAGATTCAAGACACTTGCATTTGCGGAAATTGGCTTCTTTGATCACTAATTGGGCGTCCCTGAATTTCACGAGATGATTGGTGGAATTTCGGTTTTGTACACAGGCGTTGTTCAAGTTATCATTCCAACAAGCGTAAATGTGTTCATTGAGGTGGGTGTCGAGGTTTCTTGCTGTTTCACCTACATAAATCTTGTCACAGCCTCCACAGGGTATAGTGTAAACCTCTGCGTTGACTGGTTCGTGGTGCTTGGATTTTGTTCTGGTTAGATCCTTTATTGAAGTGCTGGAAGCGATGGTGACTCTGGTGTTAGCTTGTGAAAGTACTTTATAAACATTCAGTGCAACCTGGCTGTTGGGAAGAATTAAAGGACCTAACCAGAACAAAATCCAAGCACCACAAACCAGTCAACGCAGGGGTTTACACTATACCCTGTGGAGGCTGCGACAAGATTTATGTAGGTGAAACAGCAAGAAACCTCGACACCCGCCTCAATGAACACATTTACGCGTGTAGGAACGATAACTTGAACAACGCCTGTGTACAACACCGAAATTCCACCAATCATCTCATGAAATTCAGGGACACCCAATTAGTGATCAAAGAAGCCAATTTCCGCAAACGCAAGTGTCTTGAATCTTCACTAATAGCTGTTTCTAATACAATTAAACAAAACAAAGGCAACTTCACCATCTCTGAAGTCTTAGCAAGAATCCTCCTGAAAACAGTAAACCCTGCCATCACATAGTCTCTCCTGTTAATAATACACATAGCACATTAAACTGAAACACCTTCTCTATCCAGACTCCAATAGAAATATTTGTCTAACCTATTTTTGTGTTACCCAAGTTATAGTTTTTATGTCCTTTTACTCTTGTGCGAGTCAACTGTTCTACATATTGCATTACTACTACTAATACTACTACTACTACTACTACTACTACTACTAATACTACTACTACTACTACTACTACTACTACTACTACTACTACTACTACTACTACTACTACTACAACTGATCTCACTACTACTACTACTACCACTAGTATTGCACCTCACTCTGAGCCTATATATACCCTCTGTGTCCATGTACTGTTTGTAACGGCTTGATAAAGCTCCTGGAGAGCGAAACGTTGCCACAATAAAAATGTCACATTAGTTGCATTTGTGTCCTTTTCCTTTACATATTGTCGGTAATTCTACCAACTTTATTACTACCTCATAGGTACCTACCCAAATACGCTATTCCTAGCTCCAACCAACCCCATAGAAGTTACACTCATCATAAACACCCTTAAAAACAAGGCAGGAGACATAAACAGCTTGCCTGCTTTTATGTACAAAAAAGCTTCTCAAGTATTGTCACCAATTATTGCAACGCTCTTTAACAAATCCATTGAATCATATACCTTCCCAACAATCCTCAAAATAGCGAGGGTCACTCCGATCTACAGAGGAGGTGACCAAGCTGACTTGAATAACTATAGACCAATATCTAACTTACCACTGCTCTCTAAAATCTTTGAAAAATTAATGCATAGACGGATCTATTCCTACCTCGTCTCACACAACATATTAAACCCTTGTCAGTTTGGATTCAGGAATAATAAAAGGATGAATAATGCTATCATACACATGCTAGAACTAATATATATACCGCACTTGAAAAGAAAGAAGTCCCGCTGGGCATTTTCATTAATTTACATAAAGCTTTCGATACAGTCGACCATGAACTGCTGTACTCCAAATTAACGCACTATGGTATCAGAGGCCACTCCCTCAACTACCTAAAATCATACCTTAGTAACAGAGCTCAATATGTGTATGCAAATGATGCAAACTCTTCCACCCAACCAATCACAGTAGGAGTCCCACAAGGAAGCATCCTTGGACCACTCCTCTTTCTCATCTACATCAATGATCTACCAAATGCATCACAGCTACTCAAACCCATATTATTTGCAGATGACACTACATATGTCTTTTCCCACTCATACACAGTCATACTAGCAAACATAGTAATGCCGAATTGCAGAAAATACCTGCCTGGATGATGACTAAAACTTACCCTGAATACGTACTGATAAAACCTATTTCATTCAGTTTGGAAACAAAGCTGCAAATGATCCGATTAACATAACGCTAAATGGATCATCAGTCACAAGACTCACAGAGGGAAAATTCCTAGGTATCCACCTTGACAGTAGCCTTAAGTTCCAGACACACATACAACAAATCACCAAGAAAATCTCCAAGACTGAAGGCATACTATCAAAGATAAGGTACTACGTTCCACAATCAGCTCTCCTGGCATGGTACCATACACTCATATACCCTTATCTTACATATGGAATTTGTGCATGGGGATCAACAACATCCAATCACCTAAAACCCCTCATAACCCAGCAAAAGGCAGCAGTAAGAATGATAACGAATTCCCACTCCTGCCAGCACACTCCACCACTTTTCAAAAGTCTGAATCTGCTCACCATTAAGAACATCCATACTTATTCGTGTGCCTACTACATACACAGAACAATACACACAAATATGAACCCTCCACTCAAACTTCTCCTCACCAACTTAAACAGGACACATGACCACAATACAAGACACACATCTCTTTTTGATATACCTCGTGTCCTTATCACACTGTGTAAGAACTCTATGCACATAAAGGGCCCTAAAATATGGAATTCTTTACCGGAAGATATTAAAGTAACCCAGTCTGAAAATCAGTTTAAGACTTCTCAAAAGCCACTTAATCACCTCAGACTAAACGCTAAATACTCAGTACACACATACTCACCTATGTACTCCCACATCATAACTTCAACAATCACTTTGAAACTTTTATCCATTGTTGACAGGAATATAATTGAACCATTGTTTTCCACAATAAGCATTTTAGACCATATGAATATATCCTTTGTCTTATACAAATGTAATTCACTTATAATTAATAATCTACTGTTCAACTATAAAATAATTACTGTTCTACTATACAACTATGATAAAATCCTTAGTGTTAAGTAGTCTGTAAGTCAATAATGTTAAGTTGGCCCATAATGCCTAGGCATAATAGAGGCTCTCTTTGCATTGCAACCCACTATTGTAAATATAAAATCTCAATGTACTGTTTGCAAAGACATAAAAAAAAAGTAAAAAAAAATAAAATATGCAAAAATGCAATGCACATAAAGGGCCCGAAGATCTGGAATTCACTACCAGAACCAGTAAAGGATCCCCTGACTACACAAAAATTTAGGGCTATGCTTAAAAATCATCTCATCTCTCAAGCCAAAACAACTTCTAATCAGTTTGAAGCAACTCTCTCAAATATTATATTATATGACCTCTAGTCTATTAAACATCTGCCAATCCATGAAATATTACTGATTGAACTATTATTTGTAATATTGTTTTTATTATGTACAACTTCAAGATTATTATTCTTATAAATCTCCACCTTGACTACCTGGCATTAATATTAAGATTAAATAAAGATTTATTAAAAAGTTAACCACTCTAGATTTAAGTAGTTATTATGTACTAGGATTAGCCTGCCTGAAATGCCCCAGCATGATAGTGGCTTTCTCTGTACTTAACAAACCTAACTTGTAATTACACATTGTAACCTTTGCAAAAAAAAAAAAAAAAAAAAAAATACAATTTTTATTCTTTATTCACTGGACCAAACAAGAATACCGGATAACATCATACGCTGAATAATCAATCATCTGATAATGAATGGCATGTATCACACAAGTACTGTACGAATATAGTACTTCCATGAACCCCTCTTCTACTGGTTAATTTAACTACCTGCTAAGACATACATTATTCTACCCTCTTGTAATATAAAAAAGAATGTATGTACCATAAACAAAGCAAATGCAAATTATAGTTCTTGTAAAACCTGGAGATTCTCTTAAATTCAGACCAAGGACAGAACGAGGCCAAAATAAAGCAGATGTGAGTAAACAATTATCTCCTGAGCAACAGCAGATTAAATTATCAGAATACAAATCTTGAGGGTTTAATGAAAAAAGCAGCCATATCAAGGTAAAATATAAAAGTCAAGGAATTAAACACCACCACACACAATCAGGTAATTACATACCACAGCACACAATTAACTAATTTAATATCACAGCACACATTCAGGGAATTAATTATCACACCACATACTCAAAGAATTAAATATCAGAGCACACATTCAGAGAAATATCAGAACACACATTCAGAGACATATCAGAACACACATTCAGAGAAATATCAGAGCACACATTCAGAGAAATATCAGAACACACATTCAGAGAAATATCAGAACACACATTCAGAGAAATATCAGAGCACACATTCAGAGAAATATCAGAACACACATTCAGAGAAATATCAGAGCACACATTCAGAGAAATATCAGAACACACATTCCGAGAAATATCAGAGCACACATTCAGAGAAATATCAGAACACACATTCAGAGACGTATCAGAACACACATTCAGAGAAACATCAGAGGACACATTCAGAGAATTAAATATCACAGCGCACATTCCATGAATAAAAATTGCACAAATTAAGGTGGAATAAAAACAAAGTGAGGGTAAAAGAAAATTAAGTATCAGATATCACCATCAGGAAAGGAAATACTGCAATACACAGTCAGAAATGTAATACAATAATACAGTCTAGGATGGAATGCCATGTTACAGTCAGGAGCGGGATGCTATAAAACATAGTAAGGAATGGAATGTCAGTTTATTATGAAGGCATATCAAGATAATGGGGATGAAATTGCAGAGCACACTGAGGGATGGCAGAGAGAATATGAAGATTAACTTACTTCTGTGACTGCTCAGAGACCCTGAGATAGATCACATGATTAGATAATTACAATGGAACTAATGCAGTATCTGCATTATATCTATGCAAGTACAGTCAACTCTCTGTGAAGCTCCTCTATATAGAGGAATTATTTTTATAAATGCAGCTAAAAAGTACGTTCAAAATTACACTTTTTCAACTGCATATATTAAAAATGTCCTATAAAGAGCTTTATAACAGAGATGACTGTGCCTCAACACTAAGGAAAATATGCTCATACTTGTCTCTAACCACTGACAACAGATCACAACAAAAAAAATTATAACTCAAGTAATAGTGTCATTTTTTAAATACTGGGACTCTGAAATCAATAATAATAGTCCATAATAAGTACTGTACTGTCTATCATTCAGCATCTATCTCAATCAAGATTTCATAACTTTAGTCAATACTCAAAGTTTACTTGGTTACTACATCTAGGATATTCAAGGAGGACAAACTCCAGCTACTTCCTTTAGAAAAATTGAACAAAATATGGAATTGGAGTATAAAACAAGCCAAAACTTTAAACTTGGTGGCCCATGGCCTGGTGGCAAAAGCTCTCACTTCACGTGCTGAGGGTCTGGGTTTAATTCCCAGTGAGGGTAGAAACATTGGGCATGTTTCTTACACCAGTTGCCTATGTTCACCCATCAGTAATAATGGGTACCTGGGTGTTAGTCAACTGGTGTGAGTTGCATCCTGGCACAAAAACTGACCTAATTCACCATAAATGCTCTGCATAACAAGCGGCTTTCTATGTAGTAGTATGTTATTGATGTCAGCTACGCCTATGTATACTTTATACATGTAGAAATAAAGATATTATTAGTATGTCATTACAGGTCAGCCATCACTAATCCGGCAATCAGTAATCTGGTTCCATCAGTAATCCGGCACTAATTTCAGCTAGCATAATTTCAGTATTCTGGGGGTCGCCACACCAACCAGCCGCTACTGTTTGGTGGCGCTACTTGCTACATAAGTCACACCAATTTCTTTTTTTCCATTTATTGTTATAACCTGCTCACTTTTAGTCCAAGCCATGGTTCCAATGAATAAAAGAAATGCTTCTCGTTGTGTAAAGCACCTACACCGTACATTGTCCATAAAAGATAAGGTGGCTTTGAAGCCACTGTTGGTTGCCAAGATCTCAGCTCACTCAGCTGTGACTGATAAGTTTGAGCCTACATATGAAAGAATAGGTCTGTGTGGTAAGTGTGCACTATATAAAAAAAATCCTGCAGCACACAGTGCATAAGTAGAAAAAACTGCAACTGTGTTTATGGTGTAAAACCGACTTTGTGGTCTATTTTCATATGGATCTTATGGTTGTATTCTCACATTTTTGGTCTCATTTGATAGAATGGAAGATATATTACAGAAATAGATATGATTTTGATTGGATTCATGACAGAAAGCACCTAGAAATTGAGCTTGAACTAGTGAAAATGTTTGATATTCGCCAATGTTCAAAAGTAAACAAATGACGTTACTGTCCAATATGTGTCCAACTGGCCAGTCTAATACACAGTCATGAATGACTTGACATTATTTATACAATTATTGCAATAATGCAGTAGTCTACATAACAGTAAATCTTCTATTTGTTGTGTGAATAAAAATTCAAAATGGAAAGCAAGTGTAATATAAGAGGGACCTGGAGATGTGACTAATGAACAGAGAAAATGTTATTTTAGTGCCAGGAATGTCTGCATTGTTTATTCTGGACCCTCCAAACAATACCACAGGCAGGGATAGAAACCACAATCAGAGAGTCATAAAACTCTCTGATCACGGGTTCTATCCTTTCCTGTGGCATGGTTCGCAATCATGTCATTATAATTTCTTGAGTTATTCTGGACCCTATTTTGAAATTGGCATCTCTTGAAAAGTGTGTGAAATTAGATAAATTACCAATTTCTGACCACTTTACTGGGTAGCTGAAATAGGTAAATAGGCAGTTTCTTGTACTCAGTCTACAGAATAGAAAGAATACACTAGTAAAATAGCTATGAGTTTGGTAGACTGGAACAATGGAATGGGCCAAAAACAGGGCATAAAGTGGGTGAAATCGCTGATGCATAAATATCGCCGTTAGGCTAAGTGTATTCTACCCTAACCACTCTGTAATTCAGCACAAATCACTAATCTGGCACTCTACAGGTCCTGATGGTGGTGGATTAGTGATGATCAGCATGTATTATAAAAACTGAAAGAAAGAATAACACAAACTCAAACCATTCAACAGATAATGTCAGGTCTTACACTCAAAGACCACATAAGTGTTGTTATTACATAAGCAAGGAACTTGACAGGCAGATTAACTAGAACCTTCAAAACAAGAGATGCCAAGCCAATGATGATATTCTCAGATCACTTTGTTTTCTCTGTACTGAAATACTGCTGCTGCACACTGACAACCCATTTTAGGAAATACAAAACTGCAAAACTGCAAATGCACAAAGAAGCTTTGCTGCCCATATAAATTCAGTCAGGTACTTCCTGAAGTATACTGTACACCTGGAAAATGCTGAAGGAATTGGTCCCAAATCTGCACACCAAATTAACTACCTGCAAGAGCAAGAAGCTCAGCAGATGGTGCAAAATTCAGTACTTATAATGGAAGGCAGAGATGAGTACACTAAAGAAACTGACTTATTAAATGTTAAGGAATCAAAACTTTAACACCCTCCCTTCATACATGGGATGAATTACCAACAGGTGCCTAGCTTTCAAGAGGGAACTGGGCAAGTTCCACAAGTTAGTTCCTGATCAGCCAGGGTGTGGTACTTACACTAGATGGTGTGCAGCTACCACCAGCAGCCTGGTTAATCAGGTCAGTAACTAAGAGGCCTGGTTTGGGACCAGGCCATAGAGGTGGAAATTCTTGGAACTGTCTTCAGGAAACCTTCAGGTAACCTTCAAGTATGACATATCTGTGGCCAGTTTTGAGTTGACCTACCCTTAATAATAATAATAATCTTTATTCCTACTAGTACATGTACAAGATATACAGGCCTAGCTGACATCAATGACATACTACTATGTAGAAAGCCCCTTGTTATGCAGAGCATTTCAGGCAATTTTGTCCCAGGATGCGACCCACACCAGTCGACTAACACCCAGGTACCTATTTTACTGACAGGTGAACAGGGAGGTGTCTTAAGGACAGGAGGTGTCTTAAGGAAACACATCTTAATGTTTCCACCCATACTAGGGATCGATCCCTGGACCTTAGTGTGTGAACTAAGTGTGCTAGCAATTGAGCTATGGGATACCTTATTATCCAGAATGAAGATATGCTTTCTTAATAACCACCTGATCAGCTAGGCTATTGCTGCCAGGAACTCAAAGGCCCATATAGCCATTACAGCTTGGCCGACTGGGCACCTCCTAGAGGAACTTGTCTGGTCCCTCTTTAAGACTTAACCATCATGAAAATGCTTCTTATATTTGCTTCAGCAAGGCTGAGGTCCAGCGCCACCACCGGGTCCATACACTTTTTTTCCTTTGTCAGAGTTCATAGGTTTGAACACAAGAAGTTCAGTAAAGCTGAAGAGAGATCTTGGATGATGACAGTGCTCCTTAATAGTTCTCTTGACACTCCTACTTTTCACTGTATTTATTCTACACTTCCTCCTTTATCTTTCAGTCTTGGAACTCTCTATTACATAAACTTTATTCCAAATATGTCCCAGGGAAAAGGTAAAGCTGGAGGAGTTCACATAAATAACAGACCCAGGATACCCTCTGGACCTCCTGGAACACCCACATAACAGTACATGGTTAGTCCTTGTTCTGCCAGGACTGAAGTTTGGTCAACTTCCATGAAATACATAATGTATGCTGGAAATCTCTGATGGAGAATGTGCTTGCCTCAAGGCAGTAAAGAGATGCCTCTCCACCATAACAGTCAATATTCCACTGTTGCTAAGACAAATGGGCAACTGTTCATGAGCCTTAAATAGTGATTATCTGACCGTGCATTGTACAATACACTCTGTGGGTCACTTTTTCTATTTGTGCTTCAAAACTTTTTGCCTCTATTTTATGTAATCTCTCATTTATTAGCACTGTGGTATCTTATAATTGGCTAAATTTTATTAATAGATGACAATCAAATCAAACCAAACCAAATCTAACCTAAACTGAAAAATTTGCTATAAACTGCATGTGAGAAATCAACACAGAATTTGCAAACACAGGCTGATCTACAGCTTCTAGTTTCTAATGTGGACAATAGATGGTAGGAGGGAGAAAAGAACCCCAATGTCTTTTAAAGACGAAAGTAATTACCGCCATACAAATTCAAAACAACCCACCTGTAATCCACATATAAGAAACTACTACATACAGAATGAGCTATGACCACAATCAACTTTGTCAGCACTCTTTATTCCTTAAGGTCATTAAAAAGATTGGGTTTACTAGTCATTCTCGTTCTTTATACAAGCATGGATGAGTCTCACTCCCTTTGTAAAAGCTGGACTCCCTGTGAATTCCACTGGTGATTGCTTGCCATGTCTCCCACTAAATGTAAACAAGTAATCCTGTCCTGGAAGACTGCTTCTCTACAGAGACCTTCTGTCTCACTGCAATACACAGTGTTATGGACAGTTCTCCTCCCTTCTGTATGGGGTTGGGGTAAATAAATATTCCTTTTCCTCAGTTTCAGATTGGATCCACGAGGACTAGCAAAGAACACTTTAGTGGTTGGTCCCTTGCAATGCCCATCTCATTCATGTTTCAAGCTTCATCTAACATTCAAGTACAGCTCTATCACATAACCCTTTTTTTTTTCAAAGTGGTTGACACAATCAACAGTGACATCATTATTAATTTCCTCTTTAGATAGTACCTCTTAGTGTTCCCAGAAATCTCTTCCACTCTTGCAATTCATCAACAATGCATATATACCACTTTTACAGAATGGAAACCTCACTGATATATTTAATTGGTCTCTAGTATTTGCATGTTTCCAGTATTACATTTCTTCCTTCCAGATCCATCATCCTGGAGGCTTACTCTATACATTTGACAAGGTTAAGTTTCCCAATCCTTTTCTTGATGATCTGGTGGGTGTTCGAAGATAATGGTCAGTATACCTCAATTTTGCACAGAACAGACTTCTTCACCTTGGGTTCCCACCCTCACAGAACACACTCATTCTTCCTTATGAACTTCTGCTGCTGCTGGACATTACTCCAATAATCTTTGGGCACTGAACTATATACTCAGCTCTGGCTGGGTCTAACCTTTGATGTCCAGAGGCTTCCCACTGGAATAAATCTATGTGCACACTACCTCTTTACACCTCTCAACACCCTTTGTTGATACAGAATATCCACTCCACAAAGATTTTGGCTTCATGTATTCATGTATTCTCTGTGCCTTGCTCTCCTTCACGTACACTAACAAATCTTCCAGAAAGTGCAACTACACCTTCATTTGTAGTTTGCTCTTGTATCAAGTTGGTGATTCACACCATATCCTCATTATTTTTATGGTTGTGCGATAATTGGTTACCCTAAGCAGTGCCATATACTGGACTATGTATCATCTTACATAAACAACACACACCTACCTTCCAGCAAGTCTTCTCCTTATCCAACTTCAGATCTTCACACTATTTCCAGCTGTCTCTGGGGATACACAATACTATGTATCCACTCCATACTGCCAGGACCATCCTTGGCCCTCCATCTAAACTTGCTCTTAGCACTGGTTGGTTATATTCTTCTTGGTCACATTAGTTGTGGGCTTTAAATTAGTTCTACTGAGTTCCTTTGATACCCTGCCTTTATCAATGACATTCGCCCCTTTTGTGTTAATTATGACAAACATCTTTTCTAAAGTTGCAGTTGGGTGATACTACCATAATCCTATGAATGCAATGAGTAATACTGGATACTCATGTTATCTCTCTGGAAGCTTGGATATTTGTGCAGAATTGAGTGTCGCAGTAAGAATAATCACTAAATCCCATCCCTGGCAACACCCCCCCCAACTCTTCATAGATCTAAACTTACTCCCTGTTCAGAACATCTACACTTACTACTATGCAATCTACATATACAGGACCTTAAATTCCAATATTAACCTTGACCTCAAATGCTTTCTTGATAGTTGTGACAGGACCTACAGACATTCCCTGTGTCCGACTAAACCTTTACAAAAATTCAATGTATGTCAAAGGCCCTAAAATCTGGAACACCCTACCTGAAAACTCTAGAACTGCAGACACATTCATCACCTTCAAAACTACCGTTAGAAAACATCTTATCTCCCTGATACACCCCGTCAACTAACTACATGTAAACCACCTGGTGGTTCACACTTACACTCACTCACTCATTTGACTATAAGCACAGAAATACGTATCTTAATCTTAAAATAATGATTCCTAACTAGTCATAAGTTTGTCTGTGATACTCCATTATAGAAACTATGTATTGTGCCAAAACAAAAGCATTCACATTGCTAAACTCACAAACTAGTATTTAGTCACTTAGTATTTAGTCAACTTACTCCATAGTTTGTAATAATTTAGGGTTAAGAATTAATCTAAGTTTGCCCGAAATGCCTAGCCATGCTAGGTGTTCTAGTGGTCCCCTCTGTAATTAGTATTTTATTACATGTAAACCACACAATAACCAAAATCTGTAAACCCCGCATTGTAATCCTTATAGAGAATAAACTTTGATTTGATTTGATATGATTTGATTTTGCACTGCCTACCACTGTCCATCTCAATCAATGCCTAGACAGCATGGAATTCACTTGGAATTCACTTTGGACTCGAAAATGTTGGTAATGCCTACATAGTCATCAATATGCTCTGCTATGATGTCTGTGTTTCTTATGTTATATTCAACATGATTCTTCATGCTACCTAGGCAGTAGGAAGAATCATGTGTTTTATCTAAAACACTGTATGCCTTATGAAAAATAAAATGCTCATGTTACTTACGCTTTAACTTGTTCCTTTCGAGACATGCTTCTGGAGAGGGTGTGTGGCTTTGTGGTGGCCGTGGTCATGGAGGTGCTAGTGGATGTAGCTGCAGGTACACTTTGAGAATGGTTAGGTTGAGAGAATGAATGTTGATGGGGCTGAAGATGGGTTTGTGGTTGATGCTGTTGCCGGTTGACAGCAGCTGCAGCAAGAGATGGGCCGAGGGTTGACGCTGGCGCACTGACAGTCCGCTGGCCCTCTGTACGACTCGCTGGCACAATTCGCCTGCAAGAAGATAACATAATTATTAGAAACACCATCTTGCTAAACTGATGTGACAATTCATAGGACTCATTACTTACCTAGATATTAAAATTACACATACAGTATATTGTACTGCTGACATTTTACAGGTTAACAATGCTGACATACCCCTCTTCCACTACTGTCCCACTACATTTTCAGTGATGTAAATTTACTTAATATTTGTACCCTCAACATGGTTGCTGTGACAAAATAAAACTTGTGTCACTCAAGATCTTGCTTAGATAGTTGTGCTCATGTTAAATGCTATTTAAAGGCAAATCCCAGTCAATAGACTAGCAAATAGTCAGTGGTATAAGATAAAAAAAGCAAGACCACAACTTATAACATCAAACTGGATATTTTACATTGATTTGAAGCTGATGAAAAACACACGAGATCACAAGAGGCTTCAGCCTTGCTTTTTCAATGTTAATTACAAGCCATAAGCAAGAGCCTAGTATCAATATCTGTACTTAGTGATGGTTAATGTTGTTACCAGATTATCACATGGTCATAGTCAACTTAAGGGCAATGCAATACAATATTTAAAGATTATAAGTGTGTGGAAGTCAAAAGGTAACTCAATGCAACAATTTTTTGAATAGTTGCAAGAATTATTAGGAAGCTGGAAGATTTAAAATAAAATAGGAGGTGAAAGATCAATATTGTATTAAAATATTTAAATGGTAGTTTATGCTGCCTGCACAAATTTAAGAAGCATAAGACAAGAATACCCTTAAAATAAGTACCCATGCTAATTTCAAAAATAAGTGCAATACTGTGCTGAATATCGCACTTCTTGGCACCAACCCTCATCATTCAGTATGGCTGACCCACACTTGTTGCCAGAAAAAAAAAAAAAAGGTTATACAGAGCTTAAAAGCTATATGTTCATCCTTTGTCAAAGGAATTTTAACTATATATTACACAGCAAAAAGATGAATACCTAACTTAACTGCATTAAATGTACAGTAGTACACTATAATAAAAATTTCACACATTATATCACAAGGAATACAGCAGAAATAATTGTCCTTAGTATAATAAATAAAGCATAGGAATTTTTAAAAGGGCCTTAAATGGCAAGTAAATGCAAGTGTAACCATTTTTTTTAATAGTATCCAGAACTGCTTTTGTAAAACACATGAATATTCAATGTATCCTACTGAACTTGAAAAAAAGTACTACAGAACTTTCACCTATCGTGGAGCTCTGCCACTGGATCCTAGTATGAGCCTTACTGCACAATGCACAATTGTGAAAAATTATTAGAGAAGGCAAATACTGTACCAGTACTACAGTATCACGTAATCCCGAGGTGCACAAATATTATACAGTGTAAGCCTTTATTTACTGTATACAGTAGTCTCCCCTGTATCCGAGGGTGATATGTTCCAAAACCCATCACGGATGCCCAAAACTGCAGATAGTAGTGACCCCTATATATAAATAATTTTTCATTTACATACACACCAGTGGTAAGTTTAACTGATAAATTAAGCGCAATAAGACATTACAATGTTGATAGTTGGGGATCGTCAATAGTGGACATTTGCTTGTTTTTCAATCTTTTGGAAAAACATTGTGATAGGGAGTTGTTTCTTTTCAGCTCATCCAACATTTGCTAGAGAGGTTCTAGTATTTCAGATATTATACAGGTGACTTTAATGCTGTGTTCTATTTAGTATTTTTGGGCAGTGGTAAATTGTGGATAACTGAAACCGTGGAAATCAAATCTGTGGACATGGGGCTTCTACTGTACTCCATAATACAGGTTGAGTTACTAAGAGCAGTTTTTAGTAAAAACAAGTAGGAGGTCAAGGTTGTCCTATTCATGAGTAATACTTGTGGACATACATCACAGTAGATTCCTACTTCTCTAGTGCATCAAATCAATGACACACCATATTTTACTTTAAATAAATCAATAAATTTTATAATATCCAGTATAATTTCATTTGCACTATCCTCTTCCCATGATCTGTAGACAATACTGTACAATGGTAGATCACCGCAGATTTCAAGGGTTGGCTTCCTTTCCCAAACTTCTCATCTTCAATACTGAAAGGTTCTCTCTCTTTTTGGTTTAATATAAAATGTGACTCAAGGGATAATGTCAACAAATATAAATGGTCAGTTTATTATGGTGTATTGAAGTGTTGAAGTAACTGTGGGTAGGTGAGAATATAAGCAGAGCCAGGGTAGAGAGAAGAGAAAAAGGGTACTACCCAATTGTCTCTAAATCCATATTACTATGGCCATCCCCACTGTATTCCCTATCCTCATCTGCCCACACATACATACTGAACATGGATAACTGTGCCAACAAACATAATATAAATAATAAACCAATAGGTCTTCAACAATTTCCATCATATAAACATATGCTGGCTATGAGTAAGGACTGCCTAGAACACACCAGTGAACCTACAGCAGTACACCTCTATTCTTATGCAATGGATGCATGAGTAAGACCTGCCTAGCATGGGTCAGCAAGCCTACCACAGTGCACCTCTCCTTGTGTTATATTGTAATGGCAGGGTGCCAGCAGTGCTTGCCTAGCATAAACAATTAGGTATAGTGCAGTGTTCTTTCATTTTTTATTTTTATATTAATCAAGTGTTTGTGCTAACTACGTACTACTGTTTTTGGCGTGTAAGTATACTGTGAAGATTTTGGCACTGCTGATTAAGTTGTTTGCACTTTTTCAAGTTCTGCTAAAATTCATTTCACATCAAAATCCATTCAACCCCTTTTAATGTTCCTTACAAACTTGGGGAAACCTCATACAAGATGCATGAAAAATTAAGAATGTAACAAAAATTAAGAAGTCTACCTATATATGTGCAGCACTGTATAACCCATGTGGGTTTAGCACTCAGTTGTGATTATAATAATAATACCTATACGTATATGCCATATAGTTATACTCAAGCACTGTATGTGCAACAATCCTATTTTCCTTCCGTAAACTTCATTCATAGCCTCACTAATTCTATACCTTGTAAAAGTGTAAATTTAGTACTCCCAACCAATCATAGTAATAAAAAAAAGGGAAAAAGATTCAAGATATAACGGACTAACGTTGTCATCTCTCTCCTTACGTTTTTCCACCCGCTTATAATTTTTTTTATTAACACCAGCCATTTCCCACCTAGGCAGGGTGACCTGAAAACTCTTCTGTAATATGGAGACCATGTTGGTGAAGGGCTCTTGAACTGAGGTACTAGAGCAACTCTCCTTTTTCTTGGATCAAATATGATTATCTCCCAGTTTTCCAAGGAGTTTCGTCATACATATAGGTACGTATAATGATAACAATACTATTATGGAAACTAGAATTGCCCTGCATACCCAGTAATTTAAACAGGGGCTTTCCAATGAAAAATGAAGTTGTAATATACCGTATATGCCAGCATACGAGTCGTCCTTTTAAGCATTAAAAAAAATCTGTCCAAAACTAAGGGTCCACTAATACACTGAGTATAAAAGTTGCTGATACACAGCAGACATGAAAGTAAGGCCATTGCACATTACCAAAGGAGGGAAGTGACACCTCTAGCCTACTGATGCTATTATTCTAGTACCGTCACTTTTACCATGGATGCAAGTTTCATTTGCTATTTCTTACTTGTTTTATTTTTGTTGCCCAGACACATGTTTTTAATAAAAAGAACGGTATGCTTTATAAAAAATAATACCTAAAAAAGAGGGGTATTAAAAATAAAATGGCAATACCATGACTGGAACAATTCACATATGTATAACCTCCACACAGGAGAAGGAAAATTATGATGATGTTTCGGTCTGACTTGGTCCATTAGTCTCCTATGAGGAGTACAAAGTCTGTCCTGTCATAAATGTAAACACACACTGGACAACAACCAAGACACTGGATCCAACAGGCTATCAGGCTTTCCATTGAAAGTGATGTTAAGCATTTCAAAGTTACGCTACAGTGGTCAGTTGCTCACCACATTTAAAACAGTCAAGTAACAAAAATTCTAACTGAATAGTTTGAGACTTTATATTTACTGAAACAAGGACAAAAATAAAATGAAAGACTAAGATGTGAAAATTGTGAAATTTTAAATTAGTAGAGTCAAACATAGGAAAAAGGGGGAGTCAAACTATCAGGCTAATACAGGCCTAAACCCGAATTTACACCTCAAAATATTATGGGTCAACACATATACTTGTACGCCGACACAGTCATAAAACTACCAAACTGAAACAGAGTTGCAACAGTCATGAAACTATCAAAGTGAGGGTCTTCTAGTGATAAACAATGCTGTAATAGTCATAGAACTATCAAACTGAGGTCTTCCATTGAAAAACAAAATTGTAATATATCCATGGAACTTCTGTAACTTTGCTTGATATGAAGCCAAGCAATGTATTACTCCATTGTAAACACTAGCATGCACGACTGCCTGCACTAAAGAATTCTGCTATCTGCAACCTTTATATTATTATTATTCTAATTAAAAGGAAGCGTTAAACCTTGCAACTTTTACAGATAAAAGTGATGGCTCATAGCTCAGTCACATGTACAAAAAACTGTACCAAACAGAGAAGCTTTATAAGAGAACTTACTGTAGGTGTAACAAAAACTGTACCAAACAGAGAAGCTTTATAAGAGAACTTACTGTAGGTGTAACAAAAAACTGTACCAAACAGAGAAGCTTTATAAGAGAACTTACTGTAGGTGTAACAAAAACTGTACCAAACAGAGAAGCTTTATAAGAGAACTTACTGTAGGTGTAACAAAAACTGTACCAAACAGAGAAGCTTTATAAGAGAACTTACTGTAGGTGTAACAAAAACTGTACCAAACAGAGAAGCTTTATAAGAGAACTTACTGTAGGTGTAACAAAAACTCTTGGTGTGGTACTAATGGATCAGTATATGAACTTATCAACCTTTACTAACTTATCAATGTTATCCAAAGTGACACATCTAGATAACTTATCTAAATG